CCTGAGGATTGCCAGCTTTCATGCTGTGTGCAAGCATTCCTTAAAGATCTGCCAGCTCTTTTCTACTCCCTTGTTTCTAAGGGCAGTCTGTCAGGCTAGGTTCCCAAAGGACTGGAAGTCTGCTTTCCTTAAGTTCAAGAGCTGAACTTTTACTCCTTAGCCAAGCCCTATCCTTCAGGGCTGCCCACTCCACCAGCGCGTGATCCCTGCTGCCCAGGCTGCCTCCAGTCCTGGTGTCCAGTTAGCTCACTTGCGCTGGTGACCAACAGATCCCGTACCACATTCCCTCTGGCTGTCACCTGCCCCAGGAAGGTGTCCTCCACGCATTCCAGGAGTCTCCTGGATTGCCACAGCCCTCCAAGCTACTTTCCCAACAGCTGCTGGGGTGGCTGAGTTCCCCTGCAGGCCACCACCCTCGGGCACAAGGCCTCCTGTGCTGGAGTAGGAAGGTTTGGTCCATGGGCTCCCCTTGGTCAGGTGGCTGTAGCAGAGCCCGGCCAAAGGCTCCCTTTGCTGCCTCAGTCTCTGACTCCTACCCACAGCTTTCTACCTGCTCATGAGTATTCTTCAGGGACAGCTCTTCACACTGCTTTTTTTTAGGTTCGTGGTATCATTTGTACCCACTTGAAAAAGTAATAGAGGGCCATGGTCCATGTTCTTGACATGGGCTACCTTCTGGCAGGATTATGGATCTTAGTCCCTGGTAAAGCAGTGTTGCCTCTTGTGACTCTGTCAGTCCAGCATGATATTGTGATTTGAAAGTTCACGCTGCCTTCCCAAAGCAGTAATTTGGAGATAAAGTTTATTTAAAGGTCAGTATTTAAATAGCCATATATATTTCTGCATGTATTAAAGCTCAGCTCTTGAGGAATCCAAACGTAAGCATGTGCGCCTGTCTTACATTAACAGTGAAAGTTGCACTCAGTCATAATTCAACCAGTAGCAGTGGTTAACAATAGTTTCTTAGTTTGGTTAGCTATCATTTATACTCAAATGATTAAATGTATTTAATCATTTGTAGAGGCATATTAAGTGTTGATGCCAAATCTAAATTGCAATCTAAAATTCTCTTTGGAGTGATTTGCTTGTATCAGGTAGCAGCAGCTCTTACCTCTGTGGGCCGGCTAATCAGTCGGGAGCTGCACACTGAGAGCCACCTGGCTTCAGCAAGTATTCAAACGTGGGCACACTTGGAGCATACCATCATGCACAGCTCGGGACACAAGAGCAAGGCTAAAGCATCGTACTGCAGGACTGCTGAGGTGGGTTTTGCTAAGATGGTCAGCAATTGCATCAAGGTGTCGTTGAAGGAGTGGGGGGTGAGGGTTATTTACTTAAATTAGCAAGGTTTCAAATGCAGCAGAACATTCAGAAACAGGAAAAACAATTACAACTACCAACTCACATATGTTAACATAAAGAGACATTGGGGTATAATTTTATTAACTTTAATCATATTGAAGGTATTGAACCTCGAAAAGACTACAAAATTATTGTGGTCTACTACAAGCTATAAGACTAGTGCTGGCAACTCTGAATTTAAGAATTATTCAGCAAGAGCAAGGACAAACAGGTAAGAAAGTTTCTGCATAGTGAGAGATTGATAGTTTACCTTTGCTTTCCTGCCTGGCTGTTTCTACAGAAACACACATATTCTCCTTAGCGAAGAGTAAGGGGTTTCTTTACATTTTTTTTAACAACTAAACTTTCAAAATTGGTTACTCCAATATAAACCATTTTGAAAGAATAGGGTGTGAGGAGAAATTCTTTGGTTACTGTTGATGGCAGAATATAAACATAGCTTGATGCGTGACAGTAAAAATAACGTAATATTTCTGCTTATTTTTCTTTGACATTTTATGGTGTTGTATAAAAGGATAATGTAT